TTTTATTAGCATGATAATATTGCTTCATTAATAAATGTTCTAAATTTTTCTGATAAATTTATGCCATTTAAAAATAAATCAGATTCTGAACTCTCCAATAGTGCAAAGCTTTGATAAATATTAGTAATAATACTATTATTATCTTTAGTATCTTCTAATAAAGAATCTTTAAGAGAATATGGTTATTGAATTTCATTCTGTTCTAAAATATTACTATTTTCGTACTCTATTTTTGAAATGAAAATGTAAAAGTAAGAAATATATTTGAATAGATAGTAGATAATAGGTAAATTATAAAGTGGTAAAAAATATGTGCATAAAAGAAATGTATAGAAGTAAAAATAGAAAATATATATAAAATAAAATGCATTAGTGTAGAAACTCAAGATTAAAATCTGTCGATATTTTAAGTGAACCACCACATATTCACCATTAAAGAGTCAATCACTATAATAGTAATGCAAATACCATAATTTAAATCATCAGAAGAATTATATTTGATTCTCTATTATGAATCACAGATCATCATTTTCTAATTGCAGTCATAAAATAAGTAGTGTAAGATCGATCATTTATGTAATATATAGGAAAAAAATCTGTTACAAATTTTTTATCAGGGATTTTAAAAATTCTGGATTTTACCAGAATTTATAATACTATATTAAGCACTGACTATAATAAAAGACATTTTAAATAATTGTTTAACGTGAATTTAACGAGTTTTTGCAATAAAAGGTATTTTAACATAAGAGAATTTTTTTCTCTACTTATATTTGAATTTAAAATATTATTATAAATAATGTAGTTATTTCATAATATACTTCTTTTTTTATATCATACACTACGTAAATAGTTGATCTTATATTACTGGTTTCTGTAAAAAGTGTGAATGATTTTCTGAATGAGTATGATAAAATCATATTTTTTTTAATCTTATTTATAGTGACAAATTTTTATTCTGAATAATCAGCAATATGTTATTGTACGTGTATAAATTTATATCTAATCCAATAATTTTTTTACTTAACGCGTATTTCAATTTTAATTACTATGCGCAAAAAATCATCACTAAACCAGTGGTTACAGTCTGGTGTTATTAAACAAAATATTAAGAATACACTTGATTTCACTCTAGATACTTTATATTGAATTTGTTAACTAAATGTTATTTGTGAGACCATTTTACATTCTCTCAAATATAATCTTCAAAATAATCTGACCTTCTAACAAAAGCAACAAGAACACTCTAAAATACACAATTGGTTTCAGGAATAATAGAAAAAGCAAATCCCAATAATCTTTAAAAAAATGCATGTTTATTCATTTGCAGATACTATTCAACTATCAACGTCATAGGTTCCTCTGATAAAATTGCAGATTTTTCTAATAATATTACAGGCTCCCTTAATAACATTACAAGCTTTTATAATAACATTGAAGTACCTATGAATCCTCATCTCTACCTATAAAGTGAATATATTCTTTCTTTAAAGCGGAGTAAGGTAGTGTTGTTATGAGACATTAATAGAACACTGATGGGATATAAATAGGACAGAGGATATTTGAGACATAATATAAGACAGGTTGAAACATATAGCTGGGACAACAAATCTTTGAAACATCAAAAATGGACATTACTAGAACAAGATACTGTGGTTGAAACTTTTTTAACGTTTGCAGAAAAAGCTTTTACAACTTTCTTATTAAGTATAAAGACAAAGTTTTCCTATATATTTGTAAAAAATTTCACTTTTAAGCAGAACTTACCAATTAGTAAAGCTTTTCAGAATGCTAATATTCTGTATATATTAAAATTCATAATTAAAAATATTAAAATATTCTTAAAAGAAAAAGCATTTCATAGTTTTTATAAATCTAACCCTATTGAACTTCTAAAAGATTTTAAAAAAGATGTATTTTAAGTCAACTATTGAGAAAGACTATATAATCAACCTATCTGAACCTGACCCAAGCAATTTAAACGTCAAATTTATGAAATCATCAAAAGAAAAAAAGCAGAAAATAAAACATTATAAAAAAAATGAATAATGTGAAACTAAAGATTGTGAAAAGGAAAGAGTCTGAGAAATTAGAGATTGTGGAACGAAAGGAGTCTAAAAAATAACAACTGATTTATAATTTAGAAAAAGCATTATGTTTGGAATGTGTATGTAATATAAGGGCGTCTTGGAATATGTCTAATTGCAAGTATATTTTATATATTTATCTTTGCTATCTAATTTTCAAATTTTAAAGTGATTTTATTTTATTTTTTTATAATAGATACAAGAAACCCACCTTTAGAGATTGGAATCAGTAAAAATTCTTTAACCAGTTAATAACTGTTTAAAATATTTGTTAACTGGTTTCAATCTACTGCCTTTTCTGTAGATATAACACTATCTGGATCATTAACTTAGGACAAATCTTTCGCTAATCTCTTATAATTTATATGCATATCAGGTTTGATGATGTTAAAACATGTCTTGGCAAATTATATCACAAAGTTTCTATTATTTTCATGGGTATGATGAGGTTATCATTAATTCACAATCATAGATAGCTAATGAAATCTTATATGACAAGGCTTTCATTTAAATATTATGATGATGGTATACAAAGTAATTTTCCTTTTAAAATACTAGCACTTCTTTTAATTTGGAGGCGGATCTAAGAAAATCAGTCTGAACTTAATAAATTATTAGAATCGAACTTTGATTTTCTTAGATCAGCTCCCAATGATCTTATTGATGATATTATAGTTAGGTGAAGAATTGGGCAGTTGTAAATCAAAATATATATGACGGTGTTGGCAGAAATTTAGAAGTAGACAATATTCTAAGTAACAATCTGGCAAATATTGTTAAAAATAATTTTTATTTAGCTATTTATGCTCAAATTGGTAAGAAATATATAAGTACAATTTTTCATCTCCATTGTTGAGCTTTAATTTATATATATTTTTCTGAACAGGTAAAGCGTTTACAGTTGATACAGAAGCCATTTGTTACAATTATGGAAAATTTTCAGGAAAAACATGCAGTTAATAGAATAGTGGCATTTGGATTGTTGAACTTTTATGAGGAGAGAACTTCCGAGTTTGAAGCAATGCAATCTTTGGTGTGTACAAGTGATGATCCTTTTTCAAGAGAAGCAAGTAGCGGAAATATTAAGAGAGCAATTTATTATCACGCATGTTACCGGGATATTCGGGCGACCGATCACTAGAACTCAAGTAAAAAAAAAAAAAAAAAAAAAAAAAAAAATATTTTCATGAGTGAGGGATTGGCATCCCTGGTACTTGCCGTAGGTAGGAGTCCCTATCGATAGGTAACACTGCGATAGATCCTAATTCAGCACCAGCCAAGTGCTTAGCTACAAAAATTTATATTTTTAAATTTTTACTCACTTGTTATACATTAAACTTTTATGTTTAGTTTCAATTTTTATTAAACTTTTGAGGGACTTGGAATTTTTTTCGGTGGTGATGCTTATTTGTCACGCAATGGTATGTTATAAATAAGCATAATCAATTATCAGAACTGGGGGTAAATTAGTAAATTCAAAGTATTATTATTTACTTAATCTATTTATTTTAATTGCTAATTATTTATTTCGATGAGTTTAATCAAAAGCTTTTGTTAGTAAATTTGTCTTAGTTATCTATTACAAGAATGATTATAAAAGGAATCAAATTTAAGAATACTACCATTTTGTTAAGATAAAACCTCTAAATACATTTTGAAAATTATGTCGAAGAAAAAAAAAATCTGAATTTATGTTACGTGATACATAAATTAGATTGTTTATTGATGGTGTAACAAAGGCCTAAAAGTCTGACAATTTTAAAGTCTCGTATTTGACTTATCGGACTGTAATATACAACATAGAAATAACTCTTTATAAAAATGGGGTTATTATTTATTTTGCGAAAACTACGTCAGAAGGAAAAGGAAATGAGGATACTGGTACTGTAAGTAAAACAACGATTCTGTGAGATTTTATTAAATTTTTCGATTTAATTAATTGATCAATAATTATAGTGGTTTAGACAACGCTGGTAAAACTACTATAATAAAGCGATTAAATGGTGAAGAAATTGACACAATTTCGCCTACTTTAGGTTTTAATATTAAGACGTTGGAACACAATGAGTAAAAATTATTTCACTTCCGATTTTCCTTTATATTCACGTATTTTATTAATATCTTTGTGGAATTTAGATTCAAATTACATGTATTTGATGTTGGTGGACAAAAATCTATTAGATCATATTGGCGAAATTATTTTGAACAAACTGATGGTGTAATTTGGGTCGTGGATAGTGCTGATAGGATGAGATTAGAAGACACAAAAAATGAATTGAAGTCCTTATTACAAGAAGAAGTATAGTTAATTTAGATCCGTGTGTATATATCTCTTTGTTAAATAATATAACTGAACTTTCTTATTTTTTTTTTTTTAAAAAAAAAAAAATTAAATTAAATTATAGCGATTAGCAGGTGCTTCACTATTGGTTTTTGCAAATAAACAAGATCTCCCAGGAGCTTTAACCGATGATCAAATACGCGAGGTATAATTGGGAATGTCGCGACATTTTAATACTTTAAACAAAGATTCTTATAAATTTTTTTGATTTTAGGGACTTGAACTTGATTCTATAGTAACACATCACTGGGCTATTCAAGCTTGTAGTGCAGTAACGGGAGAAAATTTACTTCGTGGAATGGATTGGATCGTTGATGATATATCATCTAGAATTTTTTTATTCGATTAATATTTAGATTTCTGTAAAGTTTGTAAACTATTGTGGGATAGATTTGCTCTTTTAGAATAGACACTAATAAGTTAAGCAACTTTTTATTTCTTCACTTTTTTTTTTCTTTTGTTTTTGGGTAATCCAACTATTTTCTCTTTTAGAAAAGAATTATTTATTATATTATAATCACCATTTCAAACTTCTCTTTTTAAAAAGGGAATAAATATATATAAGAGTATCATTATTTTTGTTTCTTGCTATGACGACGACCAGTTTTGCCTGCATGAACTTTGACAGGTTTTTGAGATTGATAAATGGAAGAGATACGAGCCAAAGCATTCTAATATAGAGAGGAAAAAGCGAATTAGTAAAAGATGTGTATCAAGTTTGAATCACGTGTGCCATAAGTTCAAAAAAGACAAATATTATTTCATTCTTGAAAAGGGTTCATTATAGCAATTAAATTTACACCCAATCTTTCACCAATAAATAAAAAAAAAGTGGGCTCTAGCAAATTTGCATATGAAAATTATAAAATAAATCCTTAATTCTCACCTTTCTTAAATCAGGACGATAATGAGATCTAGTAAAATGATTAGTAAAACTTTTTGCTGATCTACGAATACCTTTAGTAAGTACAACTTTATTAATAGATTTTGCCGGTCGAAAAGAAGCTGCTTGGGTTTTTTTCGTAACGACAGCTACACCTCTATCATCTGGACCAGCTGTTACTCCAATTGCCTATAAATTTTTTTTTTTTTTTTTTTTTTTTGGTTTAATTTAAATAAAATCTTTAGCATTTAAGGATGAATTTTGATAGAAATAAATACCTTCGAATTAGCAAGTCCTGAATATTTGAATGAGTTCAAATTTGTCAAATTGTTTGGTTCGGAGGTAAATTCTGCGCCATTACGTTTTACCAAGAATGAATTCCTATTCCTGAGAAGAAGCCTATATCAAATATATATAAATTAATTAGAATAACACTTAATTATTTATAATCGATCAGTTCTTTAACTAAATTTACCAAATTAAATCATCCGACATTTTTTCTCTAAAGAATTATTATTTTTATTTAGTAAAAAATTTCTGTTTAATTCATCACATCATCACATCATAATATCTTTATAATATAATTAACACTTGCTTATTGAATTTTTTTAAAAATCCGTAATTGCGAAAGAGGAGGAAGAATCAAAAGAGAATTTCAAAAAAAAAAAAAAAAATAAATTATAGATTTTTGATCGATTTGTAATTGGTTTAAAAGAATTCATTTAATTAGTCATGTGACATGTGCATCAAAAAAATTATATATAAAAGGATCGATTCATTACTTTAACTCATTATTTTTTTTCTCTTACAATAATGCTACCACGTTTAATATTACCACAACATGGTCGTTCTACTACCTTATTGATTCGACGAAAATGTTTGCCAGTTTTTTCTCATGTATATCATAATCAACAAATAGCTAATTATAAATCAGCACCTGGTAAAATTCGTGTACAAGACCCATTAATTGGTGATTATCCTAATTTACCTTTTGAATCACGTTTAAACAGGCCTGCTCTTGGATGGGATGATCAACAAAGTAGAATAAATTTAGATGAACCTGTAAGAAACATATTTCTAAGATGAAAGTATGAATTAAATTTTAAAATTAATTTTTTTTTTTTTCCCCAAAAGATTCATGAAGAAGAAGATGCTTTAAGTGTGTGGAGTCTTGATATTTATAATTATAAAAATTCTACCGCTTTAAAAAGTCTCGGTATTTTTTTCTCTAGTGTTGGTTTATTTGGAATCGTCATAGCAAAAACTATGCCTGAAAATCCTACGGTAATTTGTTTTTATTTATTTTATTTATTTGATTAAATAATTAGAATAAATTAAATTAGATACTAAATTATGCTTATTAGGAGAGGAGGACTTATCCTTATGAAGGATTACGTGTTGAATTAGGAAGCGATCCACTTAATCCAGAAGACAAAAGTCAAGCTGTATGTTTTAATTCAATATTTTTCTTTTCTTTTAAAAAAGTTAATTACATTTTTCCCTTTTATTAGGCACCCAGTGAAGATTAATTAGGTGTTTACTACTTTGTATTATTTAATTATATATAACAACAGGTGTATTTAATATAAGTAACTGAGATTTAATAAATATTTCAGTATAAAAATTAAAAACAAAACGTAGCATAATATTTTTATTATCCAGTAGAAAAGTACTTAAGGATCTTCTCCCTATTTACTATTGACAAATATAGTTTACACATCATTAAAATCCATACTATTCACCTCTATACTTAATTTGTTTTATGGTAACTTTGATTCCCCGTTTTACCACTGGTGTTAAACTACTATTTGCATTAAGAACATTTCCCAGCGAATCTATGGGTGGATTCTATTGTTAAATTAATTTTTTGCTTCAATATTATATTTAAGCAATATTCAAATAAAAATTTATTTTTATACCCACCGTTGATTTTAAACATGATTTAAGAGTTGGTTTTTGTCTTGCTATTCTGGGAGACGATCTTACATCATGAGACAATTCTTGTGTCAATCTGTCTTCATCCCAATGAACTCCTTTATTAGAAGACGCAACTATTTCTTGATTTTGTCGTTCACCACGTGACTTCAAGACGGGAATGTGCGAGCCCATATTATCATTTCCATGGCTATTACGTGACCTTAAAGCAGAGACCATCCCTCCTCCATTTTTCATTTTCTCATGAAGTTTTGAAGCTGGGCTTAACGGTTTTGGAATGTTCTTTTGTATTACTACTACATTGAGTTCACATCGATATTCTTTATTCCTATTTGTATTTTGTCTAGTTAATCGATTGAGTGTTGTGTTGAATTTATTAGGTGCTTTTTTTTTAGAAGATATAAGAGAACTAGGTGATTCGAATTTCGCACCATCCTCTCTATCTAATTCTCCAACGATTTTTTCTTGCTCACTCTGAAGGATACTATTATGTAACAACATTTTCTTTCTGCGTACTTCATGGAGCAGCTGTTTCTTTTCTTCTAAATTCATTAAACTTGTAGATGATTCCTGGGAGAGAGAAAAAAAATCATTATTAGTTCAACTCGTTGATTTTGAATTTTAATAAAGATAAGAAGGTTAATTTAAAACCATACTTTTAAGTTGAGTGAGGCAATCATACTTCTAGTTACTATTACTGACGATGTCTTGGCTAATTTATTTGCTCCTTTAAGAGATGTAGATGTTCCATTTCCACACTTAATAGATTCCATTACCGAATCGTTCACGTGAGATTTTTCTTTAGAAGTACCAACATTTACAGTATCGTTTATTACCTTTTCGCCGGAAGATGGTACATTTATGTTCTGTACATAACCGTCACTTTTTTTTTGTAAAATGCTTTTATCGGATGGATAAATCCTATCATCGCAGGTATCAATTTGTTCAGATAGTTGTAAATCGCTTGAAATTTTTTCGACATTGGATTTGATGATTTCATTATTATCTAAACTTTGATCACTTACAGAAACGTTAGAAAGGATCGGAAGTAGCTCATTTTCTACTGATGAATCTGATTGTGAATTTGTATAGGATGTTTCAAATATCATATTGTCAAACCTAGAGTAAGGTTGTTCGTGAAAATTGAGATGTTCGTTCATGAGTTCGTGATATTCATATAATTGGTTGCCATTAGTTTCCTTTACAGTCTCCATGTTATCGTCTCCAATAATATTAATAGATCCATCGATGCCCTTGTCATCATCATATATTTGTTCAAGTTCATTATGCATCTCTGGAATTATCATACTTAATCCGATCAAATCATCCTGGCGAGGGGTGAAGTCTTGTTCATCTTGCTCGCTTTCAAGGCCTTCTTCTGAAAGATATTGAAACCTTGGTAAATCGGTAGAATCATTTTGATGTTCATCTTGCCAAAACATATCTTTAATTACAACTTGATTATCATTGATTGGTACATTCGCTGTAACTTTCTTAAAAGTGTCCAAAAAAGAATGCCTCGTATTAGGACATTTGATTGAAATTCTAAAAAATAATTTTAAAGTCAAAATTCGTTATTTCATTCCAACCTGTACATTTGTTTCGGATTGAGACATATTGAGTATCCCTTCAATTGTTAAATCAGTTGCTCTTAAATCTCTTAAAAATTCATTATTATTCATATTATTCATATTCGTATCGTCGAAACTTAGTGAGCGATCCGAACTCTCAAATGAAACTTCTCGTTTCATTTGTTCTTCAGAACCAGATCCTTGTGATACATCTACAGACGAGTTGATTGATTCATCACTCTCAACTACGCTGATTCTTTCATTTATGTCATTATTGATGATAAATTCAAAATCATCCATCAACTCGTTTTTCTTAAAATCTTCGATATCATCCTTGGATATTTCTGAAAAATAATCTGTACAGTTAAGGAAGTTTTCCTCTCTCTCATCATTATTTTGCAACAAATGTTCTATACTCATTTTATTGAGGATAACCTCATAAGTATCATCCCTATTGACTTGCGAATTGAGTTTAATTTTCGCGTCAATTGAATCATCAGTTGAAGCATTTAAGATATTCTCAAGTGACATGGGGTATTTTTGTTGGTCACTATCAGCATATAGGATTTCATACGATCCACTCCGATCTAAGTAAGTTTGTTCGCCTATTTCTTCAAAATCCATGGTCATTTTATTTCATTAAATATATATTTTATAAATTTGACAAAAAAAAAAAGAAAAAAAAACAATCAGACGCGTATGATGTCATGTTAAATCATGTTGATCTCTATGTCACGTGGGTTGTGCCAATTGGCCCGTTGAACATTCAATGCTGTGACCAAAACTGTTGTTGCTCCAACCCAAAGCAAATAAATACATCGACCACAAAAAATCAAAAAAAAATCAAATTTCTCTTTTAAACAACTAGATTGAGTGTAAAGTATTATTAAACTGTCTTTCCAGGGGATATATTTCAAGAAATTTTTACGCAAAATCATCCAAATCTAGCAAAATGCGTAGACGTGTTGGCGGCGTTTCTCAAATATATAGGCTTCAAGAGGCCGAAGTAATATAATTGTTATTTTATTATTTTTAAATTACTCCAGGATTTTCATGCTCACGTTTTATTTTAACCATAGAGACAATACAACAAAGTTGGGAATACTTTTGCAGAACGAAATATGGAACAGGTACCTTTCCATATAAAGTTCTACCATAACATAATTAATCCTATCGTTAAATATTTTGTTATTAAAGATGAAGGCACAACTGCAAGTTTTCAAATCAAATCTAGTAGAATTTTCTCGTAAATATCGTAAAGACATTAGTAAGGATCCCGTGCTCAGGCAACGTTTTCAGATAATGTGCAGTACAATCGGTGTCGATCCACTTGCATGTAACTTTGCAATTTTAAATTATTTTTTTTTCCTGCCTTTTTATTTGTTTTCATAATCTTAAGAGTATTAATGTCAAAAGAATTGAAAACAGCAAATAAAGGCTTTTGGGCCGAATTTTTAGGAGTTGGAGATTTCTATTATGAGCTTGGTATTCAGATCATTGACGTGTGTTTATCTACGAGAGGCAGAAACGGTGGATTGGTTGAATTGGGAGAATTAAAATGCCAATTGATTAAAATGCGTAGTGAAGGTTCTGCTCAAGAAATTAGTGAGTAAGTCCTTATATAATGGGAAGTAATTGTTTTCTTTTTAAATTTTAACAATTCTAAATGCCAACATTTGTGAAATAGGGATGATATCACACGATCCATAAAAATACTCAAGCCATTAGGTAACGGATTTGAAATCATACAAATTGGTGATCATAAAATGGTTAGATCTGTCCCTCGTGAGCTGAATAAAGACCAAACAGACATATTAACATTGGCTCAGGTATTTTTATAAATAAAACGATAATGCTTTGGCTTTTATCTTACCTACCTTGCTTGAATTTTTTTGTAGAAACGAGGTTACGTTACCAAAGATTTGATAACTGCTGAACTTGGCTGGGAAAATGAACGTATCAAAGATGCAATTGTAAGGAGAAAATTTTATAAATTGCTTGTTTAATAACTATTTTAGTTTTAAATTTTTCATATTGATTTCATCTTCTGATTATCCCATTAGGACACTTTACTTATTGATGGGCTTTGCTGGGTTGACGAACAAGCAAATCCACCCGAATATTGGGTGCCTAGTTTCTTCAAAGGAGTAGATGATTGATGAGCGTAATTAAATATATATGTGGATAATTTCGAAAAATTTAAAAATTACGTTTAATCTGTATTATTAGTTTTGCAATTTATTTAAATGACAAAATGCTAAAATTTAAATAATGTGATTTCTCATTATTCTAATATTACAGTGCCACCAAGACCTTCCAAGGTCTTTTTAATCTTTTCTGCTTCTTCTTTATTTACATTTTCTTTTATAACTTTTGGAACACTTTCGACAAATTTTTTGGCCTACATAATAATATATTATATATAATTAAAATCTTTTTTTCTTTAAAAAAAAAATCTCCCCATGAACTTGATATTATTAATACATTACCTCCACGAGATTTGTCCCGGGCAAAATGTTTTTGATTTCGCGAATAATTTTTGTTTTAGCAGCTGCATCATATTTCTCTAATTTAACAACGAACTCAGTTTTTTCAGGGGCTTTTTCTTCCTATAAAAATTTTATAAAAATTATTAATAAAACCATCGTAAATTACGATAATATAGATCAACATCATACCTCAACGGGAACGGAAGCCGCAGTTTCGGCAGATGGACCAGCTGAAGCAGCTACGTTAACAGTTGGAAATACAACATCTTGAATATTTAAACGAGACTTATTATCGACAAAAAAATTTTCGAAAATGTCAAAAATCGGACTGATTTTATATTATTATTATTTTCAAAGCTAAGAACTTTCGAAGAAGGTTAACCTTTAATGATTGTACTAGTTCTGAAGTTTCAATTAATGTTAATGATGAGATTTGATCAACAAGACTAGCGACACGCGAGTTAACTGCTGCATCTTTTCCAGGTGTAGGAAGTTTTTCTTTTGAGTTAGCTTCGGTAGCATATCGAGCTACATTTTGATGTCTCAAGGATTGTGCAAATATTGTGGGTGACACCCTTAGAAATAAAAAATAAAAAGATTATTTGTTTAGAAATTGAAAACCAACAATTGCTCAACGTAAAATTTCTTCACTCACCGAACTAAGGAAAACCCACGTGTTTTGACAAATGTACGACTTATATAGCGAGACTATGAAAGTTCAACATCCAGGTTTATAAGAATATATAATTCAGTTTGATAAGCTTTTATTATTATTATATTTAAATACAATTGGTTTCAATTTACCATTGGAAATTTCCAAGTTTGAATGATGACGAGAAATCTTAAAGAAAAGACGACGATCAATCAGATAATTATGATGTGAAACTCTCATATCTGAGTGAGTTACCGAGTTACTTGTGTTACTGCGCGGATTTTATGACCAATCGTCCTTTGTGTAGCCTCATACATATTCTTTTTGATTATTGGACAAAGTATTATACTTCCGCCCTTTATCAGGTTGAACGGAAATTTTATAATTCATGAAAATTTAATAACGTTTTCTTTTCTATTTATTTGATCAAAAAAAGAAAAAATACTTTTTAATTCCCGTTAATTTCTCCACGTAATTCTCTCGCGTCATCCATCAAAAATTTTAAAGTATTTTGACCAGTAGGAAGAACATCAACCCTCAGTCAGTATAACGTCACACAAAAAATCTGATCAACAAACAAAATAATTGTCCCTAGATCTTTTGGAGTTTTATTATTTCGTTGATCTTCTTTCCTTTTGTCTTTCGTTCTTCAGATTTACTTTTGCTATACTTATTTAAAACACCATGGTATGCTCACTCAACTTCCGAGAGGATATTTTTTGACTTTTTTTTATGTTCATTTCTCCATTGCAACCTATTTTTCGAAAAGCTACTAATTCAAGTTGTAATCTTGCAGGATGAACAATATGATATCATCGTTCTTGGTACAGGTTTGACTGAGTGTATTCTTTCAGGATTATTGTCCGTTGAAGGAAAAAAGGTTCTTCACATGGACAGAAACGATTACTATGGTGGAGAGAGTGCTAGTTTGAATTTAACACAGGTGAGCTGGTTACTTCAACGCGGAAAGGTCATCAGACTTGTTCGGGTGCCTCCATTATTGACACCACATGTTTTTAAAGGAAGAATAATTTATTTGATACTTCTTTAATTTTTTTTTGTTTAAAACTTGCCTTTTTTCATTGTAAATTATTGAATTTTTATGTATAAAAATACGCGTATTGCTTATATTATTTAACATGTACTTGATAGTTTTGACTGATTATTTATATATTAATTATTAGCTTTATCGAAAATTTCGCTCTGGAGCAACAGCTTCAAGTGATTTAGGTAAAGATCGGGATTATAACATCGATCTAATTCCTAAATTCATGATGGCCAATGGTGAACTCGTTAAGATCCTCACTCACACTGATGTGACGCGCTACCTTGAGTTTAAACAAATATCCGGTTCTTTTGTATACCGAGAAGGTAAAATCTCTAAAGTACCTGCGAGCGAGATGGAGGCTGTACGCAGTCCTTTGATGGGATTGTTTGAGAAGAGAAGAGCAAAGAAATTCTTTGAATATATGCAAAATTGGGTTGCGAATGATCCAAGTACTCATCAAGGTACTTAATATTTATCTTGTATATTTATTAGATTATTTGTTTATTTTAAAATAATAAATATAAGTACCTGATTCCAATTGATAGGTCTTGATCTCGAAAAGGTTCCAATGTCAGCAGTCTATGAAAAGTTTGGACTTGAACCTGGTACCCAAGACTTCATTGGTCATGCCATGGCTTTGTATTTGGATGACTCGTATGTGAATTTATAACAAAGGTTCTTTCATATAGTACTAAGTATTTTACTAATATTATATAAAATAAAATTCATATATAGTTATCTTCAACGTCCTGCTCGGGAAAGTTATGAAAGAATTATCTTGTATATCACATCTGTTGCTCGTTATGGAAAAAGTCCATATATTTATCCATTGTATGGATTAGGTGAATTACCTCAAGGTTTTGCACGGTACGTCAAATATTCTAACTGTCGTTATTATCTATAACACCGTAGCTTTAATCTGTTATCCAATTATAAACAGGTTGAGTGCTATCTATGGTGGTACGTATATGTTAGATAAACCTGTTGATGAAATTGTTTACGATGCGAATGGTAATGTTTGTGGAGTTCGTTCCGGCGATGAGGTAATGGAATGTTATTTATATATCCTGTTTATCGTATGTATTATTAATGTTTCTATTCTAATATAATATTTTATTTATGATAAAGATTGCCAAAACAAAACAAGTTATTGGTGACCCATCTTATTTCCCCAACAAAATTCGAAAAGTCGGAAAGGTAGTTCGTGCTATTTGCATGCTTAAACATCCAATACCAAATACCGACGATGCAGATTCTATTCAATTGGTTATCCCTCAAAATCAAATCAATAGAAAACACGGTATGTTCACTGATAATGATATTGTATTTGTTTTCGTTATAACTAATGGTTTACTCAATTTTTATTTTATTCCTTTTATAGATATCTATATTGCAAGTGTTTCTTCTTCCCATAACGTTTGCGCCAAAGATTATTTTCTTGCTATTGTTTCAACAATTGTTGAAACCGACAACCCAGAAGCTGAAATTAAGCCTGGCCTCGATTTACTTGGTCCATGTGTAGAGAAGTAAGTCATCTTTATATAATAAATTTTTTTTTTTTAGAAAAGATTAATTGAAGATACTGATGTCAATAATGTAATATAAATGTAGATTTATCAGCGTAACGGATCTTGAGGAACCTATTGAAGATGGTTCCAAAGACCAAGTCTTTATTTCTCGTTCTTACGACGCTACTTCACACTTTGGAACTGTGTGTGAAGATGTCAAGAGTATCTATCGACGAGTTACTGGTCAAGAACTTACTCTAAAACAAAGGACAAGACAAGATGAGGAACAAAGGGAGATGGCTAAATAATAATACTATTAAGTTTACAATGTGTGAGAGCGGTTAATCTATCAAAAAAAAAATTTTTTTTAAGCTTCTAGATGACTATTATGTAGCATATTATTTTATTTTATTATTATTTTAACTTTAAATTACGTAAGTGTACATTTTGCGGAAATAAATAAACAAAACTTGTTTGAATATAAAATCATAATATTTACTATTACAAGGGATTTATTTTTATCATTTCAGAAAAACCTAATATACCTTTTTTTATTTGAATATATAACATGGGGTATTTCAAATACTATCATATCAAAATCATGCGAGGTGTAATATTATTCTTACTGATTTTATGCATAATTTGATCGACAAAGATCGTAAAGTATTTTACGTCCACGATTAGTATTCCGAAAAATTGCTTCATTTTGTATACTAACCATACAGTATATTATAACCATAAGTAAATTCAAAATTTGTTGTTACTCTTGATGTAGTTTATCATTTATATAGTTTAAAACGTGTAAATGTAACACGTAAAAACACGTCTATCAATAAAAAGATTAAGGATAAGTCCATCTTTTATAAGACCATCCCTTGTGATCGGCGCGCACATGATTTTTTATTTTGTATACCATAACGCGAATTACGCGAATTGTAATATACAGTATATATATATAATATCAAATTTCCATTTTAATCAGGTTCTCATGTCAGCTACAACATCCACAACGCCTACTTTTTTTGTAATGCTTCGTTTATTATAAAATTTTTTAAGTTTTCAAAAGTTTCGAAAATTTTCTGTGGATCGACATCATATATTTATATAGAAATGATCATAAACGTCAGCTACTTATATGTATTACGTATCAAAAGTTTCGAGCTTCTTTTCTTCCCATGACAAACAACAACTCATATTGACAAGACTAAAAAAAAAAAAAATAACGAACTTTATTAACGTTTAATATTTTTTTTATGTTATTTAGAAACGCGAGCAAGGAAGTGTGTATATATTTTTTTTTTTTTTTTGTTATTTATTAATAATATATATGTCCTTTTTTTTTTTATCAAATAACAAATGGGCGGGAAAGAGTGTGGGCTGGGACGTAGCTGGGAGTGGGTTTAATTACTAGCTGATATCTAGCAGTGTGCCAAGTTTCGCTACCAAGCTGAAGGTATGGAGGCTTAACGATAACCTTGGTGAGGGGAACTGCTTCTTCTTGATATTGAATTAGCTATGCTTCCTTTATAGACCAATCGTATAGGTATTCGAGACCAATAAAATTAGTCACAAGGCCTGTCATGCCTCTTGCACGATCTTCTAATATTTCAATAATCTTGATTTATAAGAATCACATTTAAAGTTTCAAACCTTTATATTGCGTCTAATCAGAAGAAAATTTTTTTCTTTTGATTTAGATTTGGCCTTCAAATAGTTTGGCATTTTATCTTTGCCTTTGCTATGTGTGTAATCTGATTTTAAAATTTTCAAAATCTGATTTTAAAATTTTTAAAATCTATCATACAGGTGTGATAGATTCTATCAATTCTTTGTTACATTACTCTTATAAATTAATAATCATTCTGGCTTCTTGATTTAACAAGCCACTACTGTTGTAAGTTGATTTTATTTATTGCTTTCTGATCTTTGGTCTTATCATATAAGTTGTACAATTGTTCTCGTATAAATTACAGTAGTCACAATTATTGTTAATGTAATAGATAAAATATATGTATATTAATTAAATAATGTTTTCATGATTTTTTTTAAAAATTATTATAATTTAAATAAAGTTTCTATTAAAATCTGTGATAACGCTGCATCACTTAATAAAAATAACAGAGTAGTTTTAAAAAAATGCCATTATAGTGTTAATATTTGGCTAATTTAAAACTTTTATTAAACCAAATGATTTTTTATAAATTTACCAAGTTGCAATGCTTTCCTATATTCAATCACTCTTACTTCCTGACTGCAATTGGGAAGTGATGATCTATGGTTCATGGTGGTTCTGTTCTACCTCCAGTCTTTATACAAGTTGAAAGTTTTAATTTGGTTTAATTTTGTTTTTTTTTGCTGTTACTGAATATAATATCATATTATATAAGATAAAAAGAAATCGCAGGTAATCAAGGAATTTGAAGCATTTAATTAACAGAAAAATGGAAGTTAACAACCATACCGTTGTGAAATTAACCTCCTAACAAGATCAAGTCATATAAGAAAAGTTTATAAGATCACTTGAAAATTCAGATACAGAAGATGATCGTTCATATAAATGTAAATGTGAACAAGACAATGAAGACGAAATTAAACAAGTTACTCTGAAAAATAAGATAGTTTCATTTTAATATATAGCCTAATAACAGTGTTTTAAGTTTTGAGTAGATTACTCATTTTTATTTTTAATTACTAAAAGTATGAACAAGAATCAGAATCAAATGATGATTCTTCTTATGATTTAAGTTATGAAATTCAACAACCATACTCTCCTAAAGATTCTTTCTTTAAAGATACTGAAAGTGAAAATAGTGTTATTACCAATATTTCTTAGAGTTTTGCACCATTAGAGAATTCAGAAACTGATTTATTTGTAAATGGTGTAAATTTATCAGAAAAATTTTAAAATATTTATTAATAAAGTGATATTATACATTAATAAAAAGAATCTATATATTGAGTTTCACATTCACAAAATCTTATCATTGTCATCTATACTTGTTCTCATATTGAACTCTTACTCTATTAAAATAGTTAAAGTGTTTGGTTTAGATTTATTGGAACTAACTCATCAAAAATATATATCAGAATTATCTCTACAATTAGATATAAAGATCGAGAATATATACTAAAGTGTTATCAAAATATATCTGGATGAATCATGCATCAATGGTATCAAATTACTTTGTACGAAGCTTGTAGAAAAAAGTAAATTAATGGATAATTTCAGATTTTGATTCAAGACTTGATAAGAACTCTATCATATAAAAAGATAAGAAATAATCTGAACGAATTAACTCTAATAATAAATTATTTAGACAGGATCATAAAAAATGCATTCTATATTCCTGACAACCATATAGTATAATAGTTAAACACAGCCTTATTGAAAAATAAAGTAAGGAAATTTGATAGTTCAAAGATGAAACAATTAGATTTTGTTGTTTCAGTTAACTATTAATCTCAATCAGCAAATGTAATCTATATAGGTAAAATGATCAGACTAACTGAGAAAAATAACATTTTCAAAAATTGTTTTGACCTAATAAGAATTAGAATTTTCATAAAAGACTGTGTTGATTTAGCTATTTTGTGAAAAGCAGAGATTAAGATATTAGATTTTCAATGTATTAGATATAAAATAGATTTTTATGTGCTTGATCTAAAAGAGGATAAAATATACGCAATGAATTATATTGCACAGATATCAGTTAATAAAATCCACAGTGTCAAAAGAAAATATCTATTATAGTATAGACAATACTAGTATCATTTTTCTGAAGGTTTTATTGATAAAGTTAGTATTATAATAATGTTTTTCTTTATGTCAAACTGCAAAATATTTAATAAAATACCTGTTAGCATTTTTCTTATATATTAGCTAATATATAGTGGCTACCAAAAGAAACGCAAGTGTGATTGGTTACCTTTGAACGGCTATAACTCATCAATCACAAATGCTAGAAACATGATCTTGTACTTGTTTTAAAGCCCAAATCTTAAAGGATATCCTGGCGAAATCTAGTATC